ATGTGTGTTAAAAATGTAGCTAAGCTAAACTAATAGGACAACTGTTAAAATGTTCTAAAAAATATGGATAAATGATTAAAATAGTTGAAATTAAAAAACAAACACACAAAAATAACAACATGGTGAATAAAGCTTCTAAAATAGCCAAGTAGTGAATAAAGGTTTGAAATAAATCGCTTAAAAAAAGAAGAAATTATAGCTAGATAAAAAACAAAGTCAAACTTTTCAGTGAAAGTGTGAGACATTTTCACAGAAGACAGCTTGACATGTAGGAAAAGTTCAGGTGTGAACATGATGAGTGGGACACTTGGCTAGAACAGAGCCATCGCTAATGTTTTCCTGTAGATCTGTACTTCACAGTGGGACAAGTCAAAATGTCTGTTATGAAAAAGGCCTATTAGACAATTGGCAAAATAACAAAATGGACACCTTTACAAAAGCAAAATGTTTGCAGTGGATTTGTTGCAAACTCATGGTTGATTTATAGCACAGAAACTAGTTTTCCAGAACATGCCACAAGTGGCTTTCAAACAACATTCTGGCAATACTGAGACGTTTGCAGCTGGTGATTTGCTGCCACAGTTTACCAGTAGTGCTAAACTTCTGCTGCAGCAAAGCCATATTTTCATATGGTAAATGGTCTGCACTTACACTTCTCTACTTCATTAGTGCTGAAACACAATGTTTCCCTTTCACACACATCAGTGGTGGCAAAGGCGCCACACAAGGTGCTAGCCTTCAATTGGGAGCAACTTTAGGCTCAGTGTCTTGCCCAAAGACGCTTCAATGAGTGATTGAACAGGGATTAAACTGCCAATATTGCAAATGGTGGACACCCTGCGCTACCATCTGAGCCACAGCTGCCTGAGAATCAGATTTATCAATGTGTACTTATTGTTGCCTGTAAGCAAAATGTATGGAAGATTTGCAGCAGATTCTTTAAAATATTTTCTTTTTGCTGCAAGTTTGCAACAAATTTGAGGGCAACTAGAGCAACGGTGTAATCATTTGCATTGTCACACAACCCGTAGTGTTTTTGAATCGACTGGTCAGCTGTTCTCCCTGTGCCTGCATACATATCCTCTGGGTGCTTCCTTCTCCTCCTAAAGATGTGCATGGTAGGGTCTACAACACTACACTGGCTGTAGGGAAGAATGTGAGCATGAATGGTTGATGCCCACTGTTAGCTGCGATAGCCTGCAGCCCCTCTGTTTCCCTCTGAAGGGTAAAATAGTTTAAAATGAGGCTAATGGATTGAACTGTTTGCTGTAAGTTTTCCACAAGTTTGGATTTGTGGCAGACAAATTTTGCAGATGAAAACAAAACCTTGCAGCAATATTGCAGCAAAGGTTTCCCACAACTTTTTACTAGAATTCTATTTTTATAATGTAAAAGGGTTGCAATCGACAGCTGAAATCTATTTAGAAAAAGTGGAGAGAGTTGCAAGGAAGCTATGCAAATTATACCTATAAATTGATCATTCAAATTTAGAAAAAAAACCCCAAACAACAGTTAAAAGAAATACCATTGAAACCATCTCTAACATCATGTGTGGTGCTGGATAAAGGCAGTTTGTGAAACCTCAGCTGACGTGACTGACAAAAAAGCTCACTGGACTAAGAGACATATGCTGACTTACAGGCAAACATCTGCTTAGACAGGCAGCCTCTTGCTCACTCGCCTAATCCAGATGTTGTTAAGCAGTCTGAGGACTCACTCCCTTGATGGCCGTCAACATGGCGAGTGCTTGTACTATTCAGCCCCTCTTTATATTCAAGTATTTCTCCACTCTGGTAGGTAGGTGTGTGTTTTTTACCTTCCATGATGGAGATGTGCACGGCTCTCCGCCTGGTTCTGGGGACGCTGGTCAGACGTGGGCCGTGGGTGATGGATGGACAACTCCTGCTTGGCACCATGCCAGCCCTGGAGAAAACATGCATATATATAAACACACACAGAAACACACGTGTATAAACACATACAGGCCTAAAATGTTAATGTTCATTTGCACGATTTATCTGATATAAGAATTGTGACCTGTGAATCTCAGGGGGGTCCCTCTTAATTTTGGCACTTTGTTCCATGACTTCTTTTGCAACCTTTCCACTGAAAAAAACAGACAAAAGAAATCCTGTCAACCTGTGATCAACACAACTGAGGCCACAAAAACAAGCACAGCAACACCATCAGATGTGTGTACGATGCAGGAACACTGTGCTTTTTAATACCTGTATCTAAAGCGACTACCCTTGAAGAAGAGATTACTACTGGACACAGTGCGGACTTGACTCGACTTCTCCAACCTGTGAGTAAATGGAGGGAAAAATTATAAAAACAATCATAAACCCAAATGAAAATGTGTTCTGAAGTCAGTTTTGGGATATCCTGTTACTCACTTGTAGAATGCCTGATTCTCAACTCCACATTTCCACAGATGCTTACAGGCCTCCGGTGTAGGTGCAAAGTAAGTCAGTATGATCTTCTTATCCTGTAGAAAGTCCAGTTCAGTCGTCAGTTGATGCTGATGGACACCAACATTTGTATAGCATAAAGGCTTCTATCCTGAGACATGAGGATTTGTCTCTACACAGTCATGTGCTTGACCAAGTAGATGTGTTTATTATTTTAAATGACTGATTTTAAATTATATTTCAGGTCTTAAATGGACTGAACTCTTGGCTAAAGACCACTAAACCCAGTCAGCCAAAGCAAACTGTTAATATTTCCTGTACACGTGTAGAGCCACCTCTCAGGTGCTGCCTTTATTTAGCTCTTTTACTGACGGAAACCCCTGACTAACACATATTTTTGTCCAATCATTTCCCATTTACTTCTGTATTAAGGACAGAGTGCTCTGGCTCTCCAGTGGCAGTGTCTGCATGCATAAAACAAGGCTGCACTCATTTAACTACCAGAGCACCACCGGCTAGAATAGGCAGCATTTTAATAATGGATACACATACCTCCTTCTGATTTGCATATATATGGAATGTCTTTGCTTCAAACTTGAGTTTGGTCACCTCCTCCCTGAGGTTGAGATACAGAGACAGAATGAGGGAGAGAGCAAAAATAATGAAGGAAAAGACAGAAATGTGTGTAAAAAGAATGAGAGACAAAGACGGGGGGAGAAGGGGGAGACAGAAATGGATAAAGGCCGTGAAATATTAATTGTGGCTGGAGGTAAATTAATAAGACCAAACAGTGTTTTATTTCTGTGCTGAAAAGTCTAGACACATTGATTCTACGGAAAATTACAAGGATAAGCAGCAACAGCTGAAAAAACTGATTTAACAACAACACAAGACCGACTCTGTGAAAACAATCCTGCTGCTTCACAGCTGGTTGACTTAGATGTCCTGAAAATGTCATTAATATCTTTTATTGTGGATCACTGGTTATTTTCCTTCGTCTTTTGGACGACTGTGCACCAAATTTCACAAAAAATGAACAGGCTGTACTGCATGTGGATGTTTTGAACAATGAATTAAATTTGAATTCCTTTTAGGATTTTATTTATCTTTTTCTGGCATCTTAAACAACAAGTTTGAGTAGTGTGTAGCTGTTTTATCCTAAATCATTCACTGTGTGTTATGTGGATATTTAAAAAAAAAATAAAACAACTTGAATATTAGGTAGTTTGTTGAGTTTATTGGCACTCTACTTTTGCACAAGCTGTTAATTTAGTGACTGTGTTCATGTGTTAAATTGTGCTGAAACTGAAGGGCAGCTTTTATTTAATCAGTTCTGGTTAAAATATTTCTGTAATTTGCTTTTTCATGCACACACACACACAGCAAAGTCTTGCTCTCTAATGTGAACCTTTCATTTAAATATGATTATCGCTTCAGGTTTTAAGTGTTCGTCTGTGCTCACCATTTGAGGAAGTGGACCCTCCTGTTTCCTTGCAGCACAGTGAATCCAAAAGGAGTGAAAGCCAGAAAAGCTGGGTTGCCAGACACATCCTGACAGATACATGAACTACAGTTAGATTATATTTTCTTGTAAATTCCCCGCCCTGATAACAGACATGCAGAGAAAATTGAATTTCATGGTTTGCTTTACAGCCAACTTGTTTTGTATTGCCCACCTTGCATGGATGCGGGTCCACTCCGTACGTCTCCAGCATCTGAGCCTTCTGGAGAAAGTTGAGCTCTGACGTCTCAGGAGTCTGACCTCTGAGAAAACAAACAAAAAAGAACATGTCAATGAAGTGGTTTCTTTCACAACTATCTGTCAGCTTATCATTTAATGTCTGAAAAACAAGGAAACCAAAAAATAAAATTACACAGTTTCAATCTAAACTCTCAGACAATCCAAGTATAAACCACATGGCTTGCTCATGAGACTGCTCTGCTTCAGGCATAACGGGGTGGAAAGTATAATGAGTAGATCCTAAAATAAGTGGATGTTTTACAGAATAATATTCTTGCAGAGGAAGTCTTGGAGCTTACACTTCCAAATTTTTGCCCAAATCAAATTGAGCAGAGCTTTTTTTCCCAATAACTAATCAAATCTTTTCACTTTGTCTAAAGAATTAAACTAAAGCCGACTCATTTTTTAGTACCAAGTCAAACGTTAAAGGAATGACAAATGTTTCAACAGCTGTCAGACTGACCAAAGGAAATAAAGGATTAATACTCCATCTGCCATCCATACTTTCCTCTATTAATAATCTTTGCTGAAGCTAGTGTGTGAGTCACACTGGCACAAACAGAGACTATATCGTAGCTCTTTACTTCCACTCTGGCTCAATAAAACACACTGATTTACTTCCATTATCTCTTCATCACACAGTTTTCGCCTTGTATTCTGGCAAATTACAACATGGGACAAAATGTATGCTAATAGGAGCTAATTTATGCCATTTTGTGCAACCTTATCAGCCATCTACTCTAACACCTGAACTACGCCAGCACTGTCATCCTTTCCTTGTAAAAGGTTTTAGCTGGAGGAAATGTATCTATTGTAGGAAGAAGGTGGAAATGAGCAATAGAGGGCAGTGTAGGATCAAATCTATGACCAGTGTCTTTGTCCATCTGGGTTGTGTGTACTGCATGTACATTACTGTGCAACGGTTTTAGCCACTTCACGTTTTTGGATTTGTATCGATCACACAATACAACCAGTGAGGCATTCTGTTGATCCCAAATTTGTTCTACAGCACGACCATGATCCTGAACCTATGACCAGAGACCTAATTCAGCTACAAAAAGAACAAGGGGTCCTGCAACAGATAGTCCACAGAGCCCTGATCTCACCCAGTCACGCTTAGAATATGTAAAATAATAGTGAAACAATCGAAATCCACTACAGAATCGATGCAAGTTTCAAAAATGTCTAAAACAGTCATTTATTGGTAAAGTCACTGATAAATAAAAACTATTCATGGCATTATTTTTGGATAGTATTGTACAACACTGACAGGCTATGCACCTCTTCATCACTGCTTTTGATTCATACAACTGCTACCCACCACATCACCATAATGGAAAATGGAGAGTGCTTCAACGTAATTATACTGCACCTGTGTTGCAGCTGTAATTAATGCTGTAATTAAAGCAGATTGTTGTCATATAGAGATCTAAAAGCAGCAGCAGTCCCATGAGTTCAAGAAGAGACAATACTGGAGATGATGGAGAGTTCAGTGTGAAGCGATGAGGTGGGTGTGGTTCTGTCATGGCTGCCCTGCACTCTGCTGCTACAGAACAGCAGCAGCACACAGGTACAGAGGGATCCGGACAGGTGTCACCTTACATCAGCTCAGTCTTGTGGATCTCAGCAATCCGCCGCTCCAGCTTCTCTGAGTGTTTGGGGAAGAACTGGAACTTGGAGCTGTAGCCCTCTGGATGTTTCCCGGGGTCGTAGTCGCCGATTTCAGCTGGAAAATAAGAAAGGAAGAGACACCAAAGGAACAATTAATGATTACTTTCAGTGTGATTTAATACCCTTTAGGCAACACATTGCCAATGCTTTAAACAAAATGAATTTAGACTGAAGAAGAAATAACCAACCTGAACAAAAACGTAAACATTTTAGACACACACTGCTATCTTTTTCTATTTTTCTTGGATTTCTGTTTTCAAACGCATTGATAAACAACATTATGGTTGAATCTTTTTGGGATCTTCAATAGACACTGGTAGGTTTCAGAGTTATTGATATTATCTCAGCTTAAAAGAAATCATACCATGTTGCTGGATTATAGTCAGTGTCCTGCTGCCCAGCACAACTCTGAGCATGAATGCCACAGAGTATCTACAGTAATAACATGCAGCGTTTCTTGACAGTTTAGTAAAGATCAAGTATGTATTTATTTACAATCTCTAGTAAACAAACTGTAATATTGGGCAAATGGTTCAAAGATTACGTTAAAAAAAAGTAGTTACATTAATGAAAGTCAAATTTGAACTTCAAACTTAACATGAAATGATTTCAACAAATTCTTATAATCCAAATTTTTATATTTCTTGCCTGTTTTCAATCACTGAACCAAGGACATGTTTCACTGTAATCTCTGTGTGGTTGCCCTTGTGTTCAGATTTAACACCTCTGCATAAAGACGCTCAAAAGCCCACAGCACAAGTTTGCAGATTACGCAAGACAAATACCAAGAAGTCAAGGTTTTTCAAGCACCTATTCACAAAAAAGACACATAAAAACATTTTTTAAAAAAACCAAGTGCATACTGAATAGTCCAAGGCTGATGAGGAGGAGCTCCGACACTCAGAGATCCACAGAGCTTAAATATCAGCTTGGTGGGACTTGTTTGGGTCACAAGGACTGATGTGGGGTTTGTGACATTTAGTCAGCAAAGATGACGACAGCAAGGATTGATGCAGTACAGCTCTATGATTCACTTTATGAATCTGTGTGAGGGCCAGTAATTTCTCTTAGCTTGTCTCAATGCAGTAGTTACTTGAGTGGTATGTGTGTAGAAAAAAACGCTTGGTATTGATTTCTGCATTGCTGTAGCCAGTTGTAGCAGTCTAGGTGTTATTCCACTGGCATCAGATTACAGATTGTGGAGGAAATATATGGAAAGCTTGGCTCTCCGGGAAGCACCACGCAGCTCAGGCGGCCACTGGTGTTAAAAGCGTATCCCAAAACCCTTCTGGTTTATATGTGCAGCAAATATTATCAATTTACATGTTCTCACGTGGTCACATGTTAAAGAGTGCTTATATAAGTATAGGACCCTGGTGAAGGAATGATTCAAAGAAAAATGTAGGCTAAGGCAGCTGCAGATCTGACAAGGCAGAATGTGGAGACCAAAAACTACTATAGTAGAAGTTGAGCTGGGAAGCCCTCCATCCTCAAGCCATTGACACACTCACCTGATGTATCCCAGAGCCTTTAAACCAGCCAGTTCACTGCCCTGTCCTTACTCAAACAGTTCCTCTCACTCTGGTTTGGTTATAACCAAATTATTTAACTGAAACGTTTTTCTCCCTTCGTTACTTCTCTCGCCAACTGCTGTACAGTTCTACCAGCACAATCTGTAGTTAACAGGGCTGTGGGTCTCAGCAAATGATCTTCAGCTTTAACTAACTAAACACTTGAAAGGACATTAGCTAATGCCTCCCCAGACACTGACAATGTGAATGGTTGTATAGATGCTGTAAGGACACTGAGAAACACAGAGAACATTTAGATTCAGGGAATGGCTGGGAGACAAAATGCTGGCAGGACGGCTGGTTGGCAGAGTGTGTGACAGGGAAACTGTTTCTTAATGCATCTCACCTCTCTGCATACTGATGAGCCTGAAACTCAAAGGAGCCAAAATTGTCAACTTTTTTTTTGCTTTACTGTCAGATTTTGTTCAAGGAAACATACTGACTTGTAAATGAATCCTTTTTAACATCTCATGTTGCCTCAGTCATTTGTAAAACACTTTGAGCTGCATTTGAAGTGCTGTTTGAATAACGTTTTATACATTTTATATTTTTAAGAAATGACTGTGTTTAAATTGCATTTATGTGGGGTTATTAAAACTCCTATTTTCGATTCAGAATAAAAAACAGCAAGCTAAAATTCTCAAGGCCCCCATCAGTATGAGTGTTCAATCTCATACGCATATGGAGGGATGTACACACATGCATGGAACAGAGCAAGTGTTTATTGACTGAACTGAGTTCAAAATAAGACCAAAAACACTCTGATCTGATGACAGAACTCCTCAGTTTATCGCACCTTGTAATATGTAAGCAGCCAGCAGAGCCGCGTCTGACGTCTTGCACAGGAGGCGACCGTGGTAAAGATCCCTCTTAACCTGCAGGAAGACGAGATATCTGCGGAGTGGAACACAGAGAAACTGATTTGAGTCATTATGTTTATAGGATCTACTGCCAAAACACACAGTAGATGTTTACAGTTTAACAGTAAGACTGCCGGTGTGGCTCAGAGACAAAATCTTGAGAATATTAGCAACTTAATATGCGAGGATGACTGTGATAAATGGTTCTCTGTGAAAGACATGAAAGTAGTTTACAAAGCAGGTGTCTGATTTTAGGAGCAACTGTATGTGTGAGGCTACTACAAATAGGCTACGCTGTCGCTTGGCACAATGAAATGTAAACTAATTGTTGGTACTCACAACTCCAAAACTATCTGACCCTTCCACAACCCATTTATAAGTAACAGTAGATATACATGTAGGCTGACTTGAGGGAGAATTTGAGTTAATGTCTAATCATTTTGAGAACTGACAGTGATTTAAAACATGATTGCAGGTTGCTTTCCAGAGTCCACTGAGAACAACTCAACGTCTCGTCTGCAACATCCAGAGATTCCTCATACATCCATTTTTCCCACCCAGGATTCATTTCGTACGCCTGTGATTCTGTTTCTCTCCAAGCAGCAAAGCAATAAATAGAACAGCAATATTAAGCACTGCTGTGAAAACGCCATTGCAGAGTCCGTGTGGATATTGAGCGTTTTACCACACGGAATACTCACTATCACCTAAGACTATTACCTGAGGTTATAGGTTGTTCTCTCTAATGTAAGTTACACGCAAGTTAAACTCAGGATTTATTTGTGTGCAATTATCTGACCTCATTTATTCCCTCTTGCCACCTCATGTGTTTGCACAGGTGTAAAACAGGGCACGGTGTCTAAGTCTTTATTATTTTTTTAAGACAAATGAAAACAGAATTGCTTATCCGCTACGTATTTGTGTGAATGTGAAAGCCTCCAGCGAGAGCAGATGGATGGAGAAGCTCTTCCTTCCCGGCGCTGTGTGCTCTGTCAAGGAGAGCTGGATTGCGAATGAGAGATTTCACTGCGTGGCAACCAGTCGAGGGATGTGATTTACAGGGATCTGTGCGCTCGGTAGCTCTCCGGCTCACTCCTCACAGCAGTTTGTTCAGCTGTCATTGATGCCACACACACAGTGCAGCGGTACTGAGGAGTTTCATGACACTGTAGCTTATGAAAAGGAAATATTCAAATCCGCCCCCAGCATAGAGGCTCAACGTGTTGAGCACGGGATACTCTGGAAAAATATGAAATGTGCTTCTTTTACCTTCATCATCATGTGTGTTTGTATGATCAGATGGTCACCTAATAGTAAAGAGGGCAAGCTGAAATCAGTCTGAAATTTATGAACAGTTCATTTGCAAAAACAGACATTTTTGTAGATTTTCAGAAAACTTTTTGTTTGTTTGTTTACTTGAGATAATATCAATCAAACTGAAGTCGAGTGGATTTGACTCAGTAGAAATGACGAAGACAAAAATAGATAACTTAAGTTTGATTGATATTGTCTCAGGTAGATGATAGAAAAGTGGGTTTTCTGAAGGTTTGTATCTGTTTTTGCAAATGAACTCTTCATATTACCTCATATCATATCATCTTTAACTCAGTCAAGAATAATGCACTTTTATCGCACTTTTCTGCCTCAGCGCTACTCAAAGCGCTTTACAACATTTCTCATCCATCCATTCATTCACTCACACACACCGCCTGTTAGCTGCCATCCGAGGTGCTCGTCTGTCATCGGGTGCAACTTCGGGTTCAGCGTCTTGCCCAAGTACATGTAGGCGACTTGTTTTATCACCTGAGCCGCAAAATCAAATGTTATTCCTCAAAATCTCTGCTAAGCTGCAGTGTCGCTCTTCACCGCCTGCAGAAGCTTCGCTCAATAACAGTAAAATATAAAAATACTTTTCATGCGATTTTATGACAAAGAAGAGCAGAAGATAGAGATGTCTTTCCTTCCACCTTTTGTTCAATAAAAACCCTCCTCTTCCTGCAGTGGAGATGGATTTTATTTTATGTCTGCCATTTGAGTTTGCTGTATGTCAGCAGTTTTATGTTCTTTCTCCCTCGCTGAATGTAAGAACTTTAAGAAATTTATTAACAGGTAGTCTGTGCTGAATTTCCGTTTTAATTATGCGAGTTCTAAAATCCAGATTTAGACTTTACATTAAGGCCAGAACTTTCTCTTTAAACTTTAAAAAAGGGGAGAGTTCACTAAAAACACGCGTGTCGGTTGACTCGAATCTCAAAAATCAATTCAGTTGTGCTCTTTCGGTTTTTCTGTATTTTGTTGACTTTAAACGAAAATGTTAGAAGGTGACAGTGCACTTTTTTTTCTCCCCTCGCTGCATGGCTGTGATGTGTTTTCTCTTGTTTCCACTCTGTTCTTTTGTAATTTCAAATCCCATCTCAGTGTGATCGCACACATGAGGACCTCTTGCTGAAGCAGCACGTGACTGGTCCCCGTGACCTTCTACGCCAGGGATCTTTCTCATCTTGTACCATCCGCCTCGACACACAGTAAGAGCCGTCATCTTCAGCAGTAAGTGGTCAAACAAACCAACTGGTGGCTGCTATGAATAAATAGAATTGTGACACCAGAAGCAACACAGGATCACAAGGATGTTCTGGTTTTCTGTTTGTAACATATTCCGTTGTTGTGGTGTGTTTGATTAAGAAAACTGATATATTCCTGACAGTTATCCTAATTTACATCGTCAGGATGGAATTTGCTGCATGACTGCATGTTTCCATGTTTCACTAATCAAAACAAATATTACACTCGTGACTCATACACGTGAAAACAAGAGCTGTTTTGTTATCTGTGATTGTGAGTGAAACCAAGGCCCCACATTTACACTGTTTCTCTTTGTTCATAAAGACTTGACAGAATTTCAGTTTGTGCTGATTGCATGATTGCTTTTGATTCACAATTTCTACAGTTTTTCAGATTTTAATCAAATGCACAATTGCTTAATACAGCATGTTTGTCCCTCAGAGGAGAAGGACTGTGGCTACCTCTGCATCCATCCATCCATTATCTATACACCGCTTAATCCTCATTAGGGTCGCGGGGGGGCTGGAGTCTATCCCAGCCGACTCAGGGTGAAGGCAGGGGACACCCTGGACAGGTCACTAGTCTATCACAGGGCTACACTTAGAGACAGACAACCAAGCACACTCACATTCACACCTACAGACAATTTAGAATCACCAATTAACCTTGGCATGTTTTTGGACTGTGTGGGAGGAAGCTGGAGAACCCGGAGAGAACCCACGCTGCACGGGGAGAACATGCAAACTCCACGCAGAAAGATTTCGGTGCCCCCACCGGTACGCGAACCGGCGACCTTCTTGCTGCGAGGCAACAGTGCTACTAACTGCGCCACCTTGCAGCCCTACCTCTGCATTCATTACCATAATACACACTATCTGTAGTCGTTTAGGCCAAATACATGACTGCAGTCATGATGACACACAGACGACACAATCTCCTTTTCGTAAACTCAATTTAGCTGGAAATGCAAAACAAAGCCCTGAGGAGGCGAAACCAAGTCATTAATCTCAGTTTCAGGACTTCATCAGCAAAAAAAAAAAAGTTGCAACATACAAAGTTTGACAGACTCAAAGTGTTTTCCGCACTGACTTTCTGTTTTATTGTTATTTTTTCTGCAAACAAATAACTTTGCTTTTAATTTGTCTAACATACAGCTGGTGTTGACATGGTGTGTGCACATGATGTATTACTGTGCACACCTCCATATTATGACTTTCCTTGTTTCTCTGAATTGTTTCGTGGTGCTCTGCCACTCTGTGTATGCTTTCAAATGAAAATTAGCCTTAAGCTAACTCTGGTACAATAAATCAAAACATTTTTTCTTTAATAATGTAATTGATCCATTACAAATAAAAAAAAAACCTGCAACGCTCTAAGTCATCTGGAAATCTTACCTGGTGATTTCCTCTCTCAGGGCAGCAGGGTCTGGTGGGTAAAACTTGACACGCAAACACATGGTGAATGGAGGCTGGGCTGCAAGTAGAAGACAAAAAAAAAGGAAATCTTGCATTATCATACTTCAATAGTGCGTACGAACATGATTTCTTTTTGCACATTATGTTTTTTTTCTAATCTAGACATTATAGAAGTGGATTCAATCAAAACAGGAAGCACAAACTGATCAGGCATGTTAAAAGAAATACTTACATTTCATTTGTTTGGCGATTGACTTTGTAAACTCCAACCAGTGCTGTAAGAAAGTGAGAAAGAGCTGTCAGTCTGGGGTCTGATTGCTCAGCAGCTGAGCATGATGACTTGTAATCTATAGCTGGAAGGCACAGTAGAATTACTCCCATCTCCTCGCCTTCTGTTTATTTAGACTCCCTCCAACGCAGTCGCCATGCAGAGAGGAGATGATAGAAAGAAAGCTGTTTGGAAGATAATCAGGAGAGTGCTGTTTTCTGTCAGAGCGCTGAACATCACGAGTCAAAACCGGCTCTAATCAGTGAGATAATGACACATTGACAACAGTGGGGCACTGAAGTCATGGCAAGGTAACTGTAGACTACAACACTGGTGTGCTGCCTTTATTATTTCTTTATTGATTGATGGACAGCTCGTTCATTAGCTGTCATTCACTGTTTCTTAAAACGCCTGTCTGCTGGCTGATGTCTTAAAACTCAGAGAGAACTGCAAAGTGGATGACATTTTTAAGCTTTCAAAAGCATTTGTAATTCTACTTAGAGTTCAAGAGTGCATAATTAACAAATACCAAGTGCAAGCCCTGCAGATTCACCCACGACTGTGTTAATTTCTTTGATTGATATTCATATCAATCAAGGTGGTTGGCCTTTTGCCAGCTTGCATAATTGTGACCTGCTGGCTTACCTACCTGTCCTGAATATTTATGTAGAGGAAAAAAATAAAGACTCATTAGGCCATTAAAGCTAACATTTATACCAAACAGCATTTATTAAAGTACCAATCACAGCCTCTGAGACCAGACAATCTGCTCTATGGTCTAATGACCCAGTGTAGAGATTGTGGGAATTGATTGGGACAAACATTCTTTTTTTATATATATATATATATATATATATATGAAAGTATCTAAAGATGCTTTCTTATCCTTGCAACAGCTTTCCATTATTTCCTTTTAAAGACTTACATTTGAATAGTTTTGTGCTTAAAATTGGTGGTAGCCTGTGAAACGCAACGCTGCTTTACCCTTGAGAAACATAAAATGGATTTTCAAGGAAGAGAGATTTGCTTTGTTAACTTGAACGCACAAATTTTCACGTAAAAACATAATTATGTAGCTTGGTTTTGATTCATATGGACAAATTAGTTTGCAAATTATCTAACAAGTCAAATGGAAAAATTTTAAAAGCCAAAATCTAATGTTAATGTCACACTATTGTAACTGCCCTAATTAAAAAGCAATGCAAGGTATTTTACTGACAAGTGTTTTTTTTGCTGATGTAAAATGTTTAATGGTTTAATGGTCAGGTTTGGCGTACTACTCCGAGCAGAGAGTCCTGGCTGAAGTTTCCAAACCCTTCTGCTATCCCCCAACCGGTCGAGGCAGATGGCCGCCTTCCCTGTGCCTGGTTCTGTAGGAGTTTTTTTCCCTCCCTGTTGAAAGGTTGTTGTTTTTTTTTTTTTGTTCCTTCCCATTGTTGCCGACTGCTTGCTCATACAGAATCCAAGGCAACTGTGGATTGTTAGGCCCTGTGTGCTCTGTTTAAAATTTGGGAGGTCTTCACCTTATTATGTTTAGTGTAAATGAAAACATATGTAGTGAATTGGTGCTATATAAATAAAACTGAATTGAATTGAATTATGTCATTCTGCTACTGTCTTTATCCGCATTTTTCTGTCTCTTTCCATCATCTCATTCTATCGCTGTCAAATAAAGTCTTAGAAATGCTCCAAAAAAAATAATTTAACAAACACTGCAGAGGAAAGAGTGACACAGAAACAAATGAGAAGAGGGGTTTTAAACCAAAAGAAAGACGACAGAGTGTGAGAGAAGAGGCCAAATCATGACTCATGCTGTGGCAGAGCGACACCATTGGAATAAACTGAATTAAATCCCACTGAAATCTAGTTTGGTTTCTTATTAAGAAGATTAACACTTACTCTCTGCTTGTCTGGGTCAACATATCGAATGCCAAAGTAGTCTTTCTCCAGCAGGTTGAGGTGGTGGCAGATGAGGTCAAACAGATACTGTCCCTTGGCATCCCGCTGAAACAGAGATAGTATAAGAAAATTAATGTAATGTAGCTACGACTGCTGGATATTAAAGAGAGAAGAAAAGTGATAAAAAAGAGCAACTTTAATTTACAGGACTCCACTGCCTCCTTCCTCCTGCCCAATATTTGCTTATTCACAGACACAGTTAATGAAATCCCAGTAGATCGATGGTGCATACCATCCACGCAAACACTCCAATCTAAAGTCTAGACTGTGTCCAGGTACAGCAGCAAGAAACATCATACAATATAAAAATGAAGAGGGCATTTTAAAAACATATTGATAGCGTCATATCAAACAGATCTTTTTCCGTCTCATCAAGAAGTCCATTTTTTTTTGGAGCCTCTGAGAAGTCAAAATGGCCACCAGAAAGTGTTTTAATATTTCACTGCCCTCAAGGGAGATATATGAGGGCTATCAAATATTCATATCGAGGCAGCAGCCATCTGTGAAAGCTCGGAGAAATTTCTGCTTCAGAAAAAGACCTGGAAAAGCAGCGAGACAAGGTGTAGGCAAAGCAAGAAAGGCAGGCTGGAAAAGAAGAGGAAGCCCTTTTCATGCAATGCAGCACAGAGAAAATCAGACTCTTGCAAATATACAAACATTTATAGAATCTGAAAATGCAATGATCACACTTTATGGGTGTTAAGAACAACCTCTGAATCAGTTAAAATACAGGAAAAGCAAATTCAGATCTAGTGGTTTTGATCAGGTGTGAGAGAGGATCAGGTCCTGCTGTCCTGGCACTAGCAGCGAGCAGGGCCTTACAAAAAGCTGTGTCTGCCCCAAAACTCTCATTAAAACCTATTTTTAATGGAGGCTTTATTTAGATTTAACTGCAACAATAAGGTAGATGGAAACACAGCTGCCACTGAATGCATAACAAACTAGGAAGCAGTAATTGGGAGCTTTACAGCAAAGCCAGCAAAATTTAACTCTGAAGCCCTGCAATATTTAAATAGCTGCTGTCCTCCGGCTTGTGGTGAGGACTGGCGGTGAGGAGGCTCACATTCAGACAACAGCTCAGAGTCTGTATTAAGCAGGTTGGAAAGCCGGATGTTCACATGGACGAGGCAACTGTTACCTTAAGAGGATGCAGCATAATAAAGAATTGTACGATAATGAAAAAGTCAGTAAATGCTACTGGCATAATGTTGCACCTTTATTGCGAATAGTTAGATGAGATGATTGTTACGGTTACATGTCTGTGGGGTATGAAACTACAAACACATTGGAAGCTAGGCCTTTGTGCTACGCTAAGCTAACAAGCTGCAGGTTTACATTTAAAGGAAAGGTGCTGCATGTGAGTGGTATGGACGTTGTTATGTAGCTCTGAGCACAAAAGCAAACAAGGAAATCTCCCCAAAAGGTTAAACCTTTGTTTTAAATATAGTCAGGTTATGTGTGGACTGTTAATTGTTATTTCATCAAGAAGTTTGACCCTCAGGTTGCAGAATGATGTCCATGGAGAGGTCGACACTTAGAAGATTATCACCTTCATCTGGGGGGGAAATGTCTCTGTGCTCACCTTAAATCCATGTTTAAAATGTATGAAAGTCTCCTTTATGGCATTTCAATACAACTAAACTGTAGACTCATTTACATTTTGGAAGGAGCATATATTGTCCCCAGAAGTCCATCATTAGGTGGTAAGCATAAGGTTCATGCCATGTACGGAACCATTATTCTTAGACTGCAGTTTCATTGTCACTTGCTGTTTGGTTAGGTTTGTAAAAATAACACGCTTTGGAGTAAAATAACTTATTTGACACCTTCCTTCAAGCTTCCCTCCATTGTCTAGTTTACAAGGCTGACCAGCACCGCCCCATCTAATACACTGATATGACTTGTTGGCTGAAAAGGTGTAACAGTAAAGCAATCAAATAACTGGTCTAGATGTGTTGATTACAAATGCATCTGCACAGTGCAATCCAGGAGGAAACAAGTTTTCTTAAAATTACAACTGAGAATGCAGTTTAGTCGTATAGAAATGTCATTTTTAGGAGAATTTTTGTGAAGTGTTCGTTGCATGGTTGAAATACAATGTCAGCTACAAAAACTAAAATGCAAGTTTCCTATAAAAAGAATCCAAGGCAGAATGTAGGGTTTGTGATACGTTAAAAAGCCTTCATTTCACAGGGCAATATGTAGTTAAAGTGATCAATGCTTTGTCAGCAGTGAAGCTCTTTGTCCGTGTCATTGTCTGCAGTAGCTTACACACCAATTAAGTGTTACATTAATTACTTAATTGGGAGGATAATCCTCTATTCAAGTGCAAGCCTACTGGTCAAAACAAGGGAAGGATATATCATGAAATTACTGTTGACAAGAAAATTGAAAGTCCAGTATAAACTTTTTCTTTTGTGAAGTCAGACATTCTGGGTCCAGTAGTAAGATTTCTGACCTATGCAATATTTGCATATTTATAGACTATTTTTCACTGGGAGGAAATAAGCAGATGCAGTTTTAAGAATTTCTAACCAGGCAGCTATACTTTGGAATACATTATTCCAATCATACCATTATTCCAATATGTCCCATGACATTATTCCAATATGTCCCATGACATTATCCCAGTATGTCCCATGACATTATTCCAGTATGTCTCAAAACATGTCTCGTTTAGGATGCATCACTGAGAACCTTGTGCATGCCTGCAGGGTAAGTGCCTGCACTTCCAGTGGAATTTTTTTTTACTGCACCAGGTACAGTGTATGTATAGGATATATCTTCTCTTCCTTCAGCGGTAAAGGACACTATAAAATATCCTAGTCTGCCCTTTGGAAGAGACACTGTGTTCACATAAGGGACAAAACTGCATCGTCAGAGAAAGTCAAACGCAGATATGTGAGAACGGGAAGGGAGAAAAGAGAAGAGAAAGGTAAAACCAAATATAGGGGGAGAGAAACCAAATGAATAGAGGGGAGACAAAACAGAAGAAGGTGAGAGAGAGATAGAACAAGCAAGAGCAGATGACACTGATGAATGCGTCTCAATACAGCATGCTGTAAAACACTGCCATCAAAACGTGAAGACAGGAGAATAGGTGCATCGATGGTTCATGTGTGAATCACAACAATGTGTCTGTGGAGACACATCATTTAAGACAATGAGAGAATCTGAGCTGAGGCCTGTCCAAACTTTTATTTCACTCAATATTAGATCAGCTGTCAGAACAAACCCCTCAGGTGACATGTTGTTTCACATTGACAGGGCTTCATGACAGTAGCGCTACTGCCCCATGTGCTACTGTCAAAGTCAAACTGCGCCCTGTTGTCATTCATCACCAAAGAGCCATACTGTGAGCCGTTGCTTTTTGCATATTTAAATAAATACAAACTGTACTTCTTTAGACTGTCACCAATGTGCGAGCTGTTTTTGAAGAGGAGTTTCTCCTATCTATTCCCGCTTTACTCTGGATGTTTCATAGATTGTATATGAACATGGACAAAGCCGCCATGATGTCACCCATAGGCTTACTGATAAGTGATTCTAAAGCTCAGTGAGGTGCCATTTTGGCACTGCTCAGTTCCTCCTAATTACCAGCTAATCCAAAATAAAGCAAAGAGGTGGAGCATGAGAGAAGCTGAGGCGGGTCATGGACTGTTACCCACCTGTTATTCAATTCAGCCACACCCATAATAAGCAAAAACTTCAAACCTAAAAAAAACTAAAAAAGGGAAACAAAAAAAAAAGGGCCCCCGGGAAAGGGGCAAAAAACCAAAAATTAACCAAAAAAAACAAAAACAAGAACAAAAACGGGTTAACCCCGGTGGAAAGGTAGCAAAAGTAACCATGGGGATCGACGCACATTGAAAAATAACCTCAAGTGGCCATTCATGGAACTGCAGTTTTGGCACTTAGCACTGGCTTCATTCTTCAGACAAAGACGTTGCTGTCTGATATATTTATGAAGCAAATCGATACATCCCCAGGATATGCATGAATTTTACACTTAATTTAAAATATGTTCAACTATTCCTCTTATATATTCCATATTGTGTATTTTTGTGTGCTATTAACTCCAGTACGTCACATGTATAATGCGTGAGTTATTCAAAATACTCCCATAGCACTGCAGCATTAAGAAGCTATGTGCATAAATAAAGCCAGGGGCTCAATAATTGATTCAAATTCTTAGCTTCTAGCACTTTTGATGAAGTGTTTGAGCGATTTTTCATCCCACACCCCAGCACAGCCCAACCTAAACATATCAGGTTCTGTTGTGTCAAGTTGGCCACTGACCGGACCGTTCCCAGGATGCACCGGGCTGACCCTCCATCTCCTCTGTCAGTGTGTCTGTATGTCACTGTCACGACATATACCCTGACTCACCAGGACAGGCCTGCTGACTCGCCCAGCAGCAAAAATAGAAACACACACATCCATTTGCGGCCTCTCTCCATCACACACACACACACATAAAAAGGAGCCTCAATTCTTCTTGCTCTATAATAAATGCCGGTGCTACACCTGTGAAACTTCTACATCCACAACATTTGCAGTCTGTTCCTCCCACTCCCTCCATCTGTGCTCTGTAGTGTAAACTTCAGCGATGCCCAAAAAAGCCTCCTAATTAATCATGTTGTTAATGTGTGTTTTGCTTCTGCGCGTACGCTCGCGTGCTACTGCATGTCGCGCCTCGGTGTGTTACTGATGATCAAGTCACTGATGATCCATGTCCATGCTAGCAGTTACGAAACAACAACAAAGACGGGGGGGTGATTTATCTCAGTCCGATATTTAAGCACGTAAATGAAGAGGAATGAAATGCAGTTGTATGAGCAATTCATAAAGAACACCAATTATAATAGCAACATCACACACAATGTATAAAATGGGCTGAACAGCTGTTACAAAAGATTTTAAATACTATGACTTAATAAGAAACTTGTGATCTTGAGTTTCTATTGCGCCTTACATTGAGTAATCCCTTTGTTCCTGGTAATTCGCCTGACTCTGCACTCTGATGCAGTTTGCAATGAGATCGA